GACAACATTTGAATGTACTTAGAACCCTTCAGGTGAAAGATTGATGCTTGGTGTCACCCAGCCGTTGCCTTACTTTACCTTCTCTCAACATTGCGAACTCATTTAAGCATGGGGTGAGCGATAGACTTACCTCCACGTGGTGCCCACTTGGCAACACGTACACTCATAGGCAATGAAGTCTACAAATCGGCAGCTGACTTCAAACTGCCATGACCCAACTGTATATCATATTCATCCACTTCCCCAGTACTCACCTTTCCTTTTCTCTACCTTTGTGTCTCTTTTACATCTGTGAATTACTCTTCTGTTCCCCCACTCCACTTTTGTGACTTTGATGTTCCTCCCCTCTGTGAAGTTCAAAGTCAACTCAAGGGCTAATGGTAGCTACCATAAAGCCTGCCATTTGATATAATATTTGAGCATTTTCAATCAATTGAATCAGTACTTCCACTTGGGTGATCATTTTCTGACCTTGTACAGTGTGTGAAAAGATACTTCTACCCAGGTTCATTAATGTGCATGAAATCACATGCAACATGAGCCGCTTCTTATCTATCCGCACAATTTCTTGTATTCATTAAGTCCTAAATTCTGTTCAATTCTGTCTCAGAAATTAAAGGTGAGGGTGTAGCAAAATACGCTAACAACTGTCAATGACAGAGGAAACCGGACTCACCGATCATTTGCAGGTTTAGGTGGAAGATCTGTGGTAAGAGGTAGTGTGGAAGGAGGAATAGGAGGTGATTTTGAGGCATTGGGAGCGGTTGTGGTGGAGTTTAGTCGAACAGCTACGGGATGTGATCGTCGCTGATTTTGTATGCTTCCAATCTTTTGTTCCAGACGGCAAACCTCGTCAAATGCTCGCCTCCACCGAGATGAATCCTACAAAAGTTAATGACAAAATTATTTATCCTATCACTGAATACCAAAATTACTGAGTAGGTACCATAAATTCCTCCCACCCCCCACCCCCCAAATTTTTGACCTAAAATCATTTTATTAGCGGTATAAAATTTTTCTTATTGCCTTAAAATTCAAAGATTTACACAAATTGTGCCATAATACACACTAAATAGATTCTATTACAGCCATTAAATAGTGACTCGAATTAGAGAAAATGAAATCACAAGCGACCAGATAACTTTTTGGATTATAGAGCGCGTTGGAGAAGGATTACATTGTACACACATAGCGTTATTTTGGCAAACGAGAGGCATTTTAAAATTAAATACTTCGTCCTTGAAACAAGGGAAACCTAAATAGCTTGATACGACCTTCTAATCATAAACTGTTTGAGAGCCAACCGGTCGGTAGGACAGTTAATTGCATTCAATACTCGATTTCAAGACCTGGGGGATTTGAATTTGTATAAATTCTGTTATTCACTTCAAATGTCTCTTGCGGGTGGAAAATAAATTGATAGTTAAGAGGATTCAGCGATGGCACGTCTTCTATCATTAATTTGAAGAGTTTGCCTACCTGTTACAGCATTTTAAACCTCCATCTATATAACAAACTTTGAAAGGCAATCATCACCCAAACTGAAAGTTGGAATACAAAACGCTAAGGCAAATAGATGTTAAACTTAAGGTATGCATGTAAATCTAAGTAAGTTATTCTAAAATAGAATTCACTTCAGAAGCAGTAAAAAGCTGTTTGAAAGCTCATTGCTACCACCATCAAAGCTGGGGATTTAAAAATAGCCTCAAAAAAATGTGACAGCCAAAAAAGGGATACGTTTCCTTAAATTGATAAAAGATTGTGGAATGGGCAATTACAATTCACTAAGAGCATTTTTCTTGCCAAAGCATTCGTTGGCAAAGATAAATCCGATACGGAGTGTCACACAAAACGACGTTGTGTCCATCTGCTCAAAAAATGACAGCTCAAACTTCCCTCCCCACTCCCTGGGTAGCAACGTTCACTGTCAATTGACTTTCGCATTTATATGCATAGATATATTTCCCTTCGAACCTAGAAATAACTTGCCGGAACGGAGCAAAAAAAGCGAATTTATTACGCGAACTCAATTTCTGAGCTAGCACTTTGCAAGCTATCAAATCGTGTGCCCTCTTACTGCAACCAAACCAAGGTGACTTATAATGTGAAGCGGAAGAAAAGGAAAGTACCCAATAAAGGTAAAAATTCGTCACAGCAAATATTGTAGGTTCCACCTACTCATTCGTCTTGAACGCCAAGCCAAGACATTAGGTTTTTGAGTGCAATGTGAGTGCTGTTAAAATATTGGTCTCGCGACCTCTAAGTCAGCATCCCTTTTAAAATAATGTATTAGCTGTCAAAACCATATCCTCATGAGACATTTTTTTAAGAAAACTACTAATAATAATTAAAATAGCGGAAAGTCGGAAGATCAAAAGCGACTTAGTTAATTTGAAGTATAAATGCGTGAAGCTAACCACTATTTAACACACAAAGTGCAAGGTGGCAAGTCCTAATAATCCATTGGCAACCTTTCGAGGAAGCACTGTCAAGCGCCACAGCATCTAACCAAGTCAGTCCTGAAAGTCCTTGAGTGTTTCAGCTTCACAAAAGGAAAAAAGGAGGCCAAGGTGATTCTCTGCCATAGAGTAGTATCAAGTTGAAAAAGAGGCCCTAGCCCCCCCTTCCCCGGCAAGAAGACAATAAAACTAGTGAATTTAGTATTCAGAGAAAAAATCGTAGTGCCATAGGAAATATTCATCAGCCTGTCAACAGAAAAAATGGTCATAGGAAACTTTACCATCTTGGTGAAATACTTAAGACAGTGACACGCAATGCTGCAATTAATTTTACAAACATTTCAGTTTAATAAGAAAGTCATTGTGAGAGATTTCATGCAGTTACATACTATTTGAAAAATAAAAATAATCGGGAAATATAACATTCTATCTTCTTTCAAGGCAATGCAAATGTGAGGATATATTTGTCAATGTTTTTTAGGAATTGAATAGGTGATTAAAAAAATGAATTCATACATAACAATCTTATTCTGAAATTCTATTCGCACTCATCTAAGGTGATGAAAAAAAGCATTTAAATTATTCAAAAACCTGCATGTCGTGAACACGGATTCCCCGGGAGAACCCGGAGAATGTGCTCAAATCTGAATGCTGGAACACTTGAGCACGAAGTAGTGAACTATGCCCTAGGGGTAGAAGGCGTGCATCTTGAGGTCAAAGCCCAAATTTGTAGGACCACCTTAATGCTCTTACTTCGCTCTCCCTCCCAACCAACCCAGATTGAATTGCTTTACAGTTTCCTGTGCTCAGATGCTTTCCATAGATGAAGAAATTGTTGATCTGTCTTTTTTTACCTGCCAAATTGAAAATGAAAGTATAAGCGTAATTGAAGGCATTGTTAACGATATTACCATTTTTCGGTGTTTTTCACTCCTTTTTACCGAATATAGAGTTTATAAAACTTTTCAATCAAATTAGTGACCAGCCTTGTGTCAGCGCAGAACTTATTTTGTGGGATTGTTAACTGCACTGATTGTTGGATTTAAAGTTACGAATTGTTGAATTCCTGCAGGTGACTTTAAAATACTTGAATCCTTGTTAGTTAGTGCTAAAAACATTAAGGCCGTTTAAAGTACACGAAAGTACAATGATGCAGTTATGCATTCGATAATCCTTGTCAAACCTCTGAGTCAGAAGACCTTCCACCAATGACTACGTTTTGGGATATTTGTTTCAAAACTTGAACATGGAATAAAATTTGAATAAAAGTGAAGCATGTGTCAGACAAATTTCTCTTCATCTAATCATGATTTAAGAAGGTGAGCCCTCACTTGACTGAGAAAAGCAATTTTGCAAATATTTCGACCTATTTAAATCAATGGACGGCTTTTAGGAAAAAATGAAAATTTCTATCAAAAGTAATAAACGCAGCAAATGAAACATGTAATTCACATTAAAGTTTAAATCCATTGATACAAAAGTGATTGTCTGGTGAATTATGGTAGCTACCAAGCTTTAAAAGAAAACAAACGGTTGCATTTTTTAAAAATTATTTACTTATGGCATTAAAAAGCACAAACAATGGAGCTCATTTTCTCTATACTTGCTAATTTTGAAGTCCGCAAGTAAGATTACTTATTATTATTGACACGTAGGAAATGTTTGAAGGTAGGTAGATTAAGTATTTAATCCGCTGAAAATCATTAAACGTTCCATCGGCAGCAGTGGTGAATTAGACGAGCATCAGTGGGTTAAAAGGAGAAATTGATTTGCATAATTGCATTCCACATTATGCTACTCTTATGGTTCTGATTACTTGACGGCACATGAAGGCGGTGAATTCAAAAGAACAAATTTTTAGTCAGAGGTACTAATGGTAAGGCTCTCTTCACTACTTAAGAATAGGCAAATTTATAAATGGATAAAGCGTTCTGAGGTATACATTATTTTACCCTTTTATTTATTTGAATCACCAGTTAACACCAGTTAACGGTTTAATCACGAAATGAGGATAAGCGATTGAATGGGCACGAAAAAAGCTAACACTAACTCGGCACTACAGAAAAAAATGATTCCAAATTTTCCACCAAAGGGTGCTGAAATTGTATATGAAGATGGTTGGATTATCGTTTATCCGAGTAGCATTCTCAATTCGGACAATATTTGACTTTCTAATGAAGTTAAGAAGGGTGTGCTCATTCCTAAGGAAATCTTTAAAGATACCCACAAAGAATAGCAATCACATCCATGAACAAAGAAGATGCTTCGTCTCCTTTGAACCAAATAAAGGTAACTAACTAAACCGATAACATTGCTAATATTAATACGCTAATCCAAAAGAATCAACGACAGATCTTAGAGTGCTTTAAATCTTGGTTAGATATTTGACACTGGTTCAAACTACCTCCATCGGATACTACAAAATATACCTCAATGATACCATCAGAAACCAGACCATAAAATTAAAAACAGTTTTATTAAAATTACAAGCACTTGTTGCTATTTTAGTAGGAGACATACCCACCGAGAAAAACAGTTCATGCATGTGTTTGCGTGGGAATATGACGGTTCTTAGTTCGATTTCACGATGGAATTGGAAAGATTGATGTGGAAAAAAAGTAGAAGTATTCAACATTTTAAATTTGGAAAAAAAAGGGGTGTGTGATAGACTTACCTCCACGTGGTGCACCCTGGGCAACGTATACTCATACGGCAAAAAAGTCTATTAACTGGCAGTTGACCTCTGACTTCAAACTACCATGACCCCACTGTATGTCATGTTCGACCCCTTCACAGTACTCATCTAGCCTTTTCTCTGCCTTTGTGTCTGTCTGTCTTTTACATCTGTGAATCGCTCTTCTTTTCCCCTGTCGAATTCTTCTCACTTTAATGTTCCTCCCTTCTGTGAAGCCCGAAGTCAACTAAAGGGATAATGATAATTATCAAAATGCCTGCCATTTGAAATAAATTTGGAAAAAATGCCCACAAAACCATAGATACAAATGTCAAAATTGACTTATATTAACAGACTTTAATTAACTACCTAAAGTTGTTTGATATGCAATAAAAATCTATTACCATTTAAGGTAAGTAATATGTAATTCTATACTTACCTCCTCAGCCTCAAAGTATGGATTGGTATTGGGCCGAGGAACATGTCTTCCCGGTGGTTGAGTTAGCCACTCACACCATCTACGAATAACATCCAATTTAAAGGATAGGTCATCAGCTCTTCGCCTGCAGGACTTCAATTCTCTCTCCTTGGCATCTATCTGGTTTTGCAT